AAGCTAACGTTTTTGCACGCATAAGACAGACACTAACGATGTCTATATCTGTTGCCTTAATTTCAAATATACATAAATTCTCGTATTTAATACTTTATTCCACGGTATCACAGATGCATCCTTGATATTCTATGAGCGACATAATATATGCTAAAGCGAATCTACTAATTTTTACATTTTTTATGGAATGTATACGTATTCCACAAATATGATGTAATTAAGAAAAGCTATTTCGATATCTAAAGATCACAAATAATATCACGACTATTAAGAAAATTTAATATCGAAGATACAGTTTCAGTGAGAATTTATATTTTTTAGTTACGAATAATGTTAAGAATAATAAAATTTTACTTTTATATTTGAAAAATATATTTTTACATCAAATTTTTCTTTATTTGAAACATGTATTTAATGTATGGACAGTCCTTTAGTAAAACGAATAATTTTTCTTTTAATTTTCTTACTGCTTTTTTCAATTGTTATCTTGTCGATATAGCAATAAAGGCCTTGAAAGTGCCTTGTGGTTGAATGCTGTAACAATATATTAATAATATTTTCTGAAATAATGTATAAATATTTTATTCTCTTTTATCAAAACTATAGATAGATGCACACGCACATATATATACATATGTGTGTGTGTATGTGTGTGTGTGTTTGTGTTACGACTGTCCATTTATACTACGGCGATCATATTAGTTGTTAAAAAATGACAAAATAATAATAAGACCATGATTTAAGTAAAAAAATAGCCAAAGAGGAAAGAGTATTCTCAAAAATTAAAAATTTTTTATATGGAAGAAATCTTTTATTTATATTATTATGTTTCAGGTAACTAAATTATTGATGCACAATTTACAATTTTTAAATTTTCCATCAAATTAATTTTTTTTTCTTTTTTTTTAAATAAATCACATTTTATGTATTAATTTTGTTAAACATCTAATATGAAAGATTAGATATGTTATCAAAATATTTCTTGAATATACGTACTTTATGAATTATATTTATTTACTAGTTAATATGTTTATATCGAGCCGTCAAGTAAAAATTACCATGTTACTTGACGGAAGGCTTACTCTGTTATTCATTGAATATGTAATAAAAGAACAAAGAAATTATGCGAAAAAAAGGAGAGATTCAAAAAGAACTTGAGTGACAATATTTAAGATTCACAGAATACGTACAAAAGGACATATCGCATTTTGCGCACACAAAATAATCTTATTCATAAGAGATAATAATGAAGAAGTTTATGGCAAGAATGCGTGAACTAAAATATATCCGCTTTCTTTTTTTTTTTATATGAATTCTCAAATAACTTGAATCTTTTTAACTTTTTATCGATTCATTCAGGTGATTCTGTCATCAGAATCAGTTCTGCGCACGCTAAATGTTGCATCTATCTTATGAAAACGACATAGTTTTGTCAATTCAACGAGAGATATCGATAAAAAATTAATTTAATAATATTAAAAGTAGAAAATAAAAGAGAAAGAGAGAGAGAGAGAGAGAGAGAGAATGAATAGTAAATTGTAGAGACCGTCTCTTCATTTGATATCGATTTTGTCGATATCAAAGTGTCCCATTGATTTTCGGAGCTTATTTTTTTCTACTTTTACGAATAAGTGAATCGATTAATATAAAGAAAAGAATTATAGCAAAGAAGGTGTTGAAGAATTTACACTCGTTTTCGTGAACTAAGATTAGCTATCTTATTTCTGTATTCTAGCAATTCTAAATACGAATTTGCAAATTATAAATTAATATATATATAACTTAATATATCATTGTTTACAATTAAGTTATAAATGATTGCCTCTTTCGCAGTCTGTAATTATGCGAAATTATGCATACTATATTATATACAGATGTATTATTATTATTATTATTATTATTATCAGCCAATATCATATTTGTTATTATCATTAATTGCGCAAGCCCTTCAAGAAACAAGTGTATATAACTTTTCCTTTTTGTATTCCGGACGAAATGTATATTTTAATAAAATATCCAAAGTATGGAATCTTGTAACGTTAATACATTAATTTTTTAACATTAATTTTTTTTGGCATTCCATTATGAAATTATAAATAGATTAATATTGTTATGTGTGTCTCATTCGCTACTTATTTTAACATTTTATACAATATTGCCTCCATAAAAATATATAATATTACATAAAAATATTGTTTACATAATATAATCGGTTTATACTAAATAAGAATATAATATAATATATTAGGTGTTGGAATTAATTCGTAGCGTTTTTTAATGAAAGAATGTTATTTATTTCACATGAGCATTAAAAAATACATTAATGAAAGTACTTCCCATCACTTGTAAAACGCTACGAATTAATTCCAACACCTAATATATGGTTGAAAGATTACAATAATGTTCAATGATTCAAAATTATACCTTTCTTGTCGTATCTGTATTTTGTCAATTTCATATTGCTTTTTAATTTAGTTAAAATCCAACTATGTTATGTAAATATAAAAGTATTTTCCATACAATGCAGAACTAAAATGAAATACAATGCTTTTCCATGTACTACATGGGAAAAAAGCTATTTTTAAATTGCTATTATATCTTATTTTTTGCATTAAAAATGAGTTTTTACCGCAAAAATGATAATAAGAGAAATAACTTCTAATGGACTGCTGAAGTAATTAATCTTCGAAAGCTCTGTATTTGCATTACTGAAGAGGACTCCAAAGTGAATTGAAATATACAATCAATTTGGAATAACAACGATCCTTCTTGTAAAGTAAAAGTTTTGATATCATAACTTGCGTTCTCTAATTACGCTATATTATCATTAGTTGAATTTATTTGTTCGTCGTGTTTAAAAATCTAAGAGTCAGTATAATTGTTATATTTTAATTTTTCTGATAGAATTGTATTTTGGAAAGTAAATGAAAGTAGTTAATATCAAGCTTATCTACTCCTTAAATCCGAAATTCGTAATTAGAACGGATTTTTAATCACATTTTATGTTGTTATAAATGTTGATAATTTTTAAAAGACGAAAATCAAAAGTCATTCAAAATGGAAGAATTTTTTTTTCAATCCTAAGATGAAGAAATATTAGATAATTAATTTTGAATAGTTTCGTTTTAGCTTCATTTCGAGAAGTTAAGCTTTTTCAAAAATTTTATAATTTGAAATTAAGATAGATTTTCAGTCACACTTCTTAAAATTACAGCAATAAATTGAAAGTCCTTTAATTGTGCGATTTTTATGAATTTTTAATTTTAACATCCCATGCAGGTATCATCCATAAAGTATTCAATCTAAGGTCCGAATCAGAATCTATATCCTGATATTTACACAAAATTTTATATTATTATTAATCTCATTGTTTTTTTAAATGAGATGTTATAATTTAATTATAATATTTCAATACTATAATATTATAATAAAAAAATTATTTAAAGTTAATAATAATAAATTTTGTGTAAGTGTCCGGATAAAGATACATGTCCGATTGGGATGTACTTATTTTTTTATCTTAAAGTGACTTTATACTTTAAGAAGAAAAATACTTCGATAAATGTTCAATAAAAGTTGAAGGAATAAATGTGCAGTAGGGAGAAATTATGTTCATGTAATTTTATATATGATATTGTTAATACTCATATTTTGTCAAATAAAATTACAGAAATTTTCTTATACAATTCAATTCTTTTATAGTTATAACAATCTAAAATATGAAAATATCAAAATGAATTATAACAAAAATTATTTTGCGATATACTTTAGTTTAACGTACTTTGAGATATTATACTATAAATGATTACTATGTAAACTGTTTAATTTTTATCTTATTTATTTATTCATTACTACGTTATTTCAGTATTTTTAATACATCATTACTTTAATCATTTTTATACATTTTCAAGACAAAATATGTGTATGGATAAGGAAAAAGATATATATATCTATACTATACAATTAAAAAAATTTTTTTAAATTACAAAAATTTACTAAACATATACTAAAATACGGATATTTAATTAGAGGCAGCGACTCCAGTATGATTGATATGGATACATTGAATAATTCCATACTCTGAATTTTATATCTGTATGATGTTTATCGGGTAGAAATTTAGAAATTGTAATTTAAAAATTACAAACATACGAAAAATGTCACGGCATTGCTTGAAGGATATATAGTGCAATTTTCACATGACAATCCTGAAATCAAAGATCTTATATTAGAACACGTAAAATTTACGCGTTCTTTTAACGATTTAACTACTTCAACTTGTTCAAATAAAAGATCATTTTCTTATTTAAGACATTTAAATAGTTATCTTTGATCGACAATGAAACAAAAACATTTTAATCACTTTTATTGTACATTTATCGAGAAATGGTAAATAAGTTAAATATGGAGCTCATTAATAATTTTATTAAATAAAATTAGAGCGGCTACTTTTATGATCCAGAAAAGATACATATACGGAAATATATTGTACTTATCCCTCTATCCATCTTAGCGCTTGTATTTTATATATACATCAACATGATTATAAATTATTTCTCATGTCGTGAAGAATAGATAGAAAATAATAGAAATTATGAAAATAAAGTATATACATATAAATTTATTTATATTTGAAAGAATATTTAAAAAAACAAGCCATGTATATATCTAATTTGTTCCTTATTTTAAATATATTATCTATATTATCTATATCATTTGGATATTTTATATAAGTTACATTGTCATAAATATTGTTATATAAAAACATTGAATTGTGTGCTAAGTAATTTAATTAAATGAAAACTATAGCGAGTGAATTTAACTTGTTAAATCCGTCTTATGTGAAATACATTAAAGTCATAGCCAATATGAATATTATAAGTTGCGTATAAACAAATTAATACGTTAAACAGAGGAAAATATAAACATGAACAGAAAGTAGGGTAATAAGAAAGAAGAAGAAGCGCTACGCTCTTGAAATTGATTTAGTAGGATAAAGACTTGTCTTCGACATTCATCTCGAAAGGATAATGCAATACATTTCAAATGGATTTGCCTTGTGTAGATCCGTATTCCTACGCAAATCCAGGTATTTTATTATTTTATTTAATTACATAATTAATTATATGAGAACGTAATATTAAACATTTGAAGTACACTCTTCTTATCTTTGCATGAAAAAAAAAAATAAAACGTGTGACATCCGACAATAATGACTTTATTAGCATATTCAAAAGGTAAAAACTGTCATGCATATCTCATTCCTAATTTCTTTAAATATTTGATTGTATTACGACTTGTGTCTTCTTGCGTGTCTTCTTAAAAGAGTAAAGTGCAAATTATATAGTATTTTTAATATCAATCCATACAGTAAAAACAAGAAAACGTATACACAATATAAAGTTTTGAATTACAGTATATTACGTAATAATTCTTATGTAATTATGATTTATACATATATATCCACAGTAAATATTTGAATATCTTTCTGTGATCATTTAATTAGGTATTGCTAGGGTAGTTCATATTCATTTAAACTTATTCGTCGACTTTGATGAAACAATCCTTCGCGGTATGGCAACTTTATTTATAGAAATGGAACCTGAATATAATGAAATAGTTAGTAAACATTTCCTTTTATTTTGAGCAATTTCGTAGTTTTTTATTTGTAATTAATATATAACATTGAACAATTAGATTTTAGATATCTACCAACTCAATGAAGATAAGATGGATGTCTCAGAATACTTCAGTAGTGATAAATTAAAATATGACGTTAAACAAACTCACCGTAGTGTTGAAAGTGAATTTGTTATTATTCAGATACCGCAGAAATATAGAGGTCATTTCACTGAATTTAAATATAAATATTACAAAAGACCATATCAAATTAAGTATAAGTAAGTACAAAATGTTTAAAAAATTACAGATTTCAGAAAATATTGAAATAAACATTTCAGAAAATATTTAAATAAACATTTTATACGTGTAAAAATTTATATTTTACAGTTGTATAATTAAGATTATATATGAAACACGTAAAGATTCTCCTGCAATGTATTGGTTAAGAAGTGATCAAACTTCTGATGGCTCTCATCCTTTTTTAATAACTAACAACAAGGTAAATTATACATGATAAATAAATAAACAGTAAATTCTATAAATTCACAGTACTGATAACTCTATATTTTTAGTTTACATACGCCAGAGGAATATTTCCCTGTCAAGATTCACCATCTATCAGATTTACATTCGCCGCGGAGGTAGGAATTTAAGTAGTTATCACTTATATTTTATATGTATACACATATATTTAAGATGTTCCATTTTTTTCAAATTTCCTCTTAAAGTCAAATTCTTGAAATAATTTTTAGACGAAAGTTTTAATGCAAAAAATGTCGAAATTATAATAGTTTTATAATAATTTTAAATTAACAGCGATTAAAATTCACTAATGACGCAGATAATATTTCATCCACTCTCACAACAGAATGACAAGTAGAAATGATGAAGACCTCCTTTACGCAATACTTCTATTAGGAAATTATTTCCGTTTTTCTAAGGAATCTTTTCATATGTTACAAGCAAGATACGATATCATCTATGATGTCACTTGCCGAAATGAATTTAAAATCAGGATATTTACCTCGTATGGTAAAATTTTATATTTTGGTAGACAAACTACTTTTGACGTGAAAAAAAGTAGATGTATTAGCATTAAATTGATAATTCGTTTAATTTGTTATTATTATTCCAATTTTAGTTTGGGATTGCGATTCAAAATCAATATTAGCGCACAATTTGCAGAATTGGAAAATATGTTTAAAAATTTAGCAGATGAAACATTGTTTATGAAATTGTTAACGTTCTCTATTAATCCCTGTTAATATGTATAAAAACTTAATATATAATCTTGATATTTTTGCATTAGAATTTTTGACTGTAAATTACTTCAAAAATACTACTTTAAAGAAAGATTCGGTACAAATTGGACACAATTTATATAGGATGTGTCAAATAAGTCTGCTTATCTCAAATATATATACTATATATAGACATATAAAAATGAGTTATTTATAAAAGCTGTATAGCATCAAATATATTATACAATATGATATTAATAATTGTTCTGGCGTGAAGACAGTTTTTGAAATATCATAATTATCTGCATTTTTTGAAATGATATGGTTTTTTACGCAATACGATCCCTGTAGTTATTTTGTATATAAAAGTACTTAGATACAGATATAAAAAAAATCAACTTTGTAAGATGTTAAATGTTTTATGCTAATACGTTAGAATAAAGTATAAAATTTCTCATAAATTATAGATTTTTTATGTTTTACTTTAATATTTTCATATGTAAGATAGGGGAAACATATTACGTATAGAAAACAACATAATATCATTTAAAAAAGTGATCTAAAAATCAGTTACCACGAAACCCTGAAACGCCTTCATCCAGAGTACAAAATTACTAGTAGTAGATTGTTACTTGTCCTTCTGATGTGTTATATAACTTTCGTCATTAAATAATTTTCTCTAAATGTTCTCTAAAAATAGTATAAAAATAATCGAGGTGAACAGGTTTTATTATTACTTCACATTATATGACTCAGTGGTGACTGATAAATGATTACCGATATTATTTTAAAAATAACGAAACTTTGAAATAATGAATCTTTTTATATAAAACATAAAAAGATATACAGAATGTCCAACAGAACAACGTTTAAGAGGAGATTCTTAATATCATGTTAAGATGTAAGTCCTAAGAATAAAATGTTGAGTAAAATTATTTTTTTTTTATTATTTTTTTAGGTGTACTTCGTTAACTTTAAATGATTATAATTAAGAAATTATTATAGCCCTGACTTTTTTAGGGTGATTAGAATTTTCGTTTCAAAATAATGTAAGGTATTTCACTTTAAGCGTTGTTCGGGACATCCTTTATATTTATAATTTTATGATGATATTTTCTCATATGCTATTTTAATTAATTATAGAAAGATAAATAACGGATTCCTGACAATTATAAAGAAACAATAACAATGACATATAAGAGTCAGGCGCGGTAATAAATATTATTGCGGAAATAAAACTTTTGATTTGTCAAAAAATAAAATACGTTGAATAAAGTCATAAATTGCTTGAATGTTTTGAATGATTAGGCGATGCATACAAAAAATAGCAGTAGTAAACTATAATTCATCATTGAAAATTTAAAAAATGTCGCAATCCTCTTAAACATATTCAATAATTTTTGCCAAATAATAAATTACAGTTTATAAAATAGTCAATGTTTAAAATTGAATAAATATAAATATAAACTATGAAGTCCGTTTTAATTAAACTTGAATATTTTTCGTTAAAATATTTTTGATTAAAAAGGATGTGTGTATTAGACGAATTTTGACCGAATAAAATTCTTCAATCCTTTGTCTAGTAAAATATCGATAAATTAGCTTTATTTGTGAACTTTCCGTGTCTATTTGTAAAATTAATTTGGTTGTTCATTTATAAAGAGCATCTGAGCAATTAATTTACATAGATATGGTCTCTTTTAGAATCTCGACAATATCCCAGTTAAAATCATGATCTAATTGTAACCCAAACAGAACAATAAGAAATTATGCTATAAAAATAATGATCAATATGATTCAAAAATGATAGTTAAAATCTTTTTTCAATTCATTTTAATTCCATTTTTTAAAGTTTGGTTTTTAAAGTTTGAAAATTGATAATAACTTATTATGATCCTTCCTCAATTAAAATATAGATATGTATTTGCTCTCGATTTGAAGAGAGTGCTCGAAATTAAAAAGATATATGTAAACTTATAATTGATGTCTTTCATAAATATATTTCATTTTTTGACATAAAACAAATGTGCTTAATAATTACAATTTGACTTCTGTATGTCACTGCTATTTATTATTTTATTATATAAATAGGTCATTACATATATTTAGCTTTTATTAATTAAAAATTTTTTTTCTAGATTTTTGTACCAAATAATATCAATTCCGTTATAATATGTGGGAGGACATGTAAACGTATAACAGAAGATGGATGCCTACACAAATTCACGTTTTATGAAACGTTTCCGATGCCAGCATATGCAATGATTATTGTAGTTGGTTCATTAGAAACCATACACCTTGATTTACAACATAACGTCAGTTTGTGGGCCGAAAAAAAATATATTGAGCAAAGTAAATCATGTTTCGCAAATTTCCATCATATTCTTACTATTGCCAAAGAATTGTGTGGTCCTCTATATAGACGTAAATTGAGAGGTAAAACATCAAGTAATTGTCACATTCCAAAGAGATTGATGTGGATTTTACACCACGTGTTTATGTAATTTTTAATGTGTCGGTATTGATATTAACACTATTATGATGTGGACATAATGGATTATAAAATCATACCATAATGGCGTTGATATTATCATCAGGAATATAAAACCACACTACTTATTAGTAGAAGTATTAATAGAAGAAAGACCCCTATTATGAGGTACCGATTTCATTTTGGGTAAATGCTAGGAGTCTATAGGCAGAATTCAAGTAATAATAGGTCATTTGGAGGGAATCTAATAAGCATTACACAGATAAAGTTACATAAAATTTAATTCAAATTTCATTTTATTTTAAAATTAAAAGAATGTAAAAAGTGAGCAAATCGCAAAGTCAAAATATTCTTGTGTGTTCTTAATATGAAATGACCTGAGAAATCGATAGTAAAACTAATTATTTGTAATGCAATTAAAAAACTTTATCTAGTGTTTCTAAAATACAAGCAAACACAACCAGCGTATGCGAAAAATGAGCATGCAATAGATTTTATATCCAGAACTCGTTTTTAGGTAATTGAAATCAAGCAGATATACTCGACGTTCATTTCGATTGTCTTTTTTATTATTGTACAATAATTTATTATAACTTTATACTTAACTTTACAATAATTTTATACTTTTGCAACGATTTTCGCAATAACATAAGAGAAAGGATTATTTCATATTAGAAATGTCCTGAGTATCTCATGTTACGATCTCCACGCCTTATGGTTTTAGATGATCAAATCTAATTTCTGTAATTAAACAATTCAATATATCCCGTATTTTTCTATTAGTATAACCTTACTCTATCACTACATGAAGAATTTATTGCTAAATATTTATTTATTAAATAATAAACAAAGTTGATCGCATTGAAACTTAAAGACATTCAAATTCTAAAATCTTATTTCACAATGATTATAGGTATGATCTAATAATGAATCTCCTACTAAATATTTTTCAATAAATTCATGGCGGAATCAATTGATAGCATTTATTAGTCAGAAACGCCGCTATCTATTAGGCGCTTATCTCATAGTAGGGGGCTTTCCTCTATTAATATAAACACGTTGAAAGTTATGTACAACATGTTATTAAATTCATCCGAAGTTTACTACATTGAACCAAATTATATGTACAATTATATTTTTTGTGAATGATTATTCATTTACTATTAGCTTTATTGTTTTATAAACATATATTAAAATGATAATTGTAGAGGATGTACGTCAATACAATATATGTGTACTTCCACCAAATATCCCAGAAATTGAACTACAATGTTTTTCGATGATATATGTGTCATCAACTTTACTTAATGAAGATTTCTTTTGGATATTCTGTACGGTTGCTAAAAAAGTTGCTCAGAATTGGGCAGGAGGTTTAGTTACGTGCAAAAATTTCGAACATTTGTGGTTAAATAAAAGTTTTAGTACCTTCATATCTAGAAAAATTATATATTGTATGTATAAGCAAAATATAATTCCTTATGCAATGTCATTTCTGGAAAGGATAACCGCTTACACTCTAATAAATAAGGTAAATTTCATTAATATTTCATTCAGAACGAAAAGTGTCGAAATATATACATTGAAACTGTTGATTGATAATAACAACAATTTATACATTTACATCTTTACAGAATTACTTATTTTGCAAGTATACACATTTACATTTCGCACATACACATACGCATTCGTATTTCTATATACATATACTTACTGTATTCTTACCTCATTATTTTTCTTTAAATTTTGTTAATATTACAGATAAGTTTACTTGATATTGATTCTGAACGGAAACTAGTACCTAATTTGTGGGGTGTTTTATCCAAAGATATCACAACATGTGTAATTGACGAATTGGGATATGTTCTTTTGAATTACTTAGAATATTTTTTAGGACCAAGACATTTCGAATTATATCTTAAATCTTATTTTTTGTATTTTCGTTTTAAAAGTATAAATACTAATGATTGGCTGAACCATCTGCATGATTATTTTGTTGACATACAAGAGGTAACATCTTTCTGTGTAAACATATTAGAATTTTAGCATTTATTCATTGAATTAACATATAATAACTCTTATGTATCTGCTTATAGAAACTAAAATCAATATTGCGTAAGTGGTTTTATGGACCAAATTTAAGACTTATGTCTATTGAAGATATATGTACTTTGTATCCCGAGCTGCTAGACTTTTGTCTAATGACAAAAAGTCAAGGATATTTGTTAGCGACACGGTGGGCCACGACAGAAGCATTTAATAATTTTACTTTTTTGTTGACTGAACTAAAATTATGTAATAATAATCTTATGAAAAAAGACTTCTTATTACACTTATATACATCGAATACAGTTTTACCGGTTGCAAAACTATGGTGGCTACATCGTATGTTTCCACTTGACGAGCAAACTTGTGGAAATCGGTAAATATTGCCGGTTTATCTATATTTAGAAATTGATTTGAAATTATACAACATAATGCATATGTATCTCCTAGGCTTCTTTTGCTACTTTTGTATATAAAAAATAAATGGTTGGAAATGATTCAACCTGCTTTGGAATTTGTCCGCGAATATTGTTCACCAATGTTTGCGTGTCCAATATTTCGTGCATTGTACGAATTGGAAGAGACGCGTCACCTGGCGATCTCAGGGTTTATAGCCATTGTGGAGAAGAAGTGCAAAATGCTTCCCTCAACCATCCAAGAAGTAGCATATATTCTTAAAATTAATTTAAAGGATATATATATATTAACAAGTGAAGAAAGTACTCTGCATGTAAAAAACAGGACATGCTTGAAATCAAGAAGAAATCGAAATGAGTTGGTTTAAATGAATATGAAATAATTATAAACTAAATATTACACAAACTACATTGTTACAAATGTACTCCTTTACATGTAAATGAAGCTCGTTATGAACGAAATTAAAAGTAATGCATGATTCACAACTGAAAATGAAGTTATAATTACTTAAATGTAATGAACGTGTACATTAAATTTATGAAATTTAATGTATTTGCAATAAAATTTTATGAAAAATATATTGAATTTTACATATAGGTACACAAATATACTTTTTAGTTACAAATACGTTAAATTTAATTTAATGTCATGAAATTAAATTTAAATTGCGTAACTTAAAAAGTAATAAAATTTAAGACATTTCTAACAGTGTAATTATTTGTGTATTGATTATATTATATTTTAATAATTACTTAATAAAATGTTCTGTTATATGTATTTACATATGTAAAAAATATAGAATTGTGTTCTTATGTATGGCTCTGTCTATGTATATGCTTTCGGGGAGACGCTATTCGCGTTATGAATGCAAATGCTACCAATGTTGTTTGTGGAGCTAATAACACGATAGCATTAATAAAGCTCCATAAACGATTCTATCGTTTGGTAGTGTTTTATCAGAGAGATTTAATCTTCGTCGAAGTTAAGTTAATGTAGGAGATTCTGTTTTCAATCACCGACGACTTTTCTTTGTAATAATTAAATTTTTTTGTTTTATAGTGTATACGTAACATAAATTTTTTATTTTCTCGTACTGAATAAGAGAACACAATTTTAATTACAATTTTTATGATTGTTTGCTGCTAGGACAAAATGAACGATATAAACTCGATAAAAAATTAGTAGTTACACTGAGTAAATTAATCAGATAAAAGGAGAAATCCTTAAGTATCTGTTGTCGATTCGATAAGAAGCGTATCTACAATCAATTAGGTCTATATATATCCGTTGTACACTTTACACGTGGAAAAGTAATAAGAGAAATAATTGAATGTAATTGCAGCATTTGCAATATTTTTTGTCAAAAGAGAAATTACAATTAAGTCATGTAATTAATATTCAGTCTATAATACAGTATATGTACACATTGATATGAAGACAATGATATGTTGTACAGTTAGGAACGAAAAGCTATTTTGCAACGCTTTTTTTGCAATGGTTTTTTTTCGATTGGTTTCAGAATGCAGCTTGCTCACCGAGCAATTGGTTCTTATTCATAAATCGACAAATAAATATAAAAGTATAATTTTTCTTTTGTCATACATCTTCACTTTTTATTTTAAAAAAACAATAAAAATATTTATGTTCATCATCTATTAATTATTTTTCATTTTTTTTGCTTATAATTGTTTTTGTGTATAGACGAAAAAAAAGAAACCATATTTTGTTTATATAGCATCTCGCATTATCTTAACGACGTATTCTTAATGTAATTTAGAGACGAAAATCTTATTATAAAAATGTCGAGGTCATAATAGTTTTTAAGTTAATACCGATTAAAGTGATTCACTAATCACAAAGTTTAGATTCCGTATAGAAGCAGAAACAGTTTCTTATTTTAAGCAGTTTTTATATTTAAGCATTTTATTAATAAGAATATCATTGAATATTGATATATCATTGAATATGATAATCTCGATGCTTTTAAGAAAATTTCCTAAGCACTTTTACTACTTATCATATCATTATGTCTTAGCGAAATGTCAGTTCTGTTATTAGTGAACTTTAATTGCTATTATTTTAAATTATTATAGCCCCAACATTTTTGTATTAAAATCTTTATTTCTAAATTTCCTCAATGATACATCTTTAAGATGAAACCTTACAGCATAAAACCTCCTTATATCCTGATAATCCTGAATATATCTTGAATATCCTGTGACATATATGAGATATATTTAGAACATTATACTAATTGTAACATTATACTAATTGAAAATTTTAGAACCTTAGCCTTAATAAATAAGCGCCTAAAAATGTCATAAACACCTCCATAACAAGTTCTAAACATCTTCTGATAACTTTCCTGTGAATATCAGAATATTAGAAAGCATTATATTTTTAGAATATTAGAAAGTTCCAAAAATTACATACGGACATGTTTACAACTTGTGATTTTTATGTCTTGTCGAACGTAATGAGGCGCTCATTTCGTAGTCTTCAATGTCTTTAGACATTTATAACAAAATGTCCTACGCTGTTAGAGGCAGTAGTTTCAAGATTTATTTACTGCATACATTTATATGGACTGTTACACCGTGCGACTTTAAACAAGACTTAAAACTCTCTACGTCTTGTTCAAAAGCGAAAGAGAGACAGAGACAGAGTTTAAGCCTTGCTTAAAGTCAAAATAACCTTATGCAATTGGGCCTAAATTTGATCGCGGCATTATACGTATCTAACTTCAAGAGAAATGCATTATGACCATTTGTGTTGAAAGGTCGAAATTTTTCAGTTGAGAGGTCGAGTAATTTTCAATTAGAAATACATATTTTCGACATCTCCCTTTATTTCCGCTTTAATTTTATCATTTTCTCATTTTACCACTAATTTAGTATAAAAATACATATTTTTCAAACAATTTTAAAATTTTATCTTTCACTGTGTGCCTCAAATGCGCATAAAAAACAAATGATTTGATATCACGCAACGACACATATGCATTATTATTATATTTTGTCTCTATTTTTGAGAATAACTTGAATTTTCTATGTGTAAAAAAAAATTATTTTTGTTGCATAGTGTTATATTGGACCTTCATAATTATACATTTTACTTAGATTACTTTTTATGAAGTGTATTTCAATATTTTATTCTGTTTTAATAATATTTAAAATGATCGCTTATAGGGTAACTACGGCAAATACGCCACGCTGAGATTTACGTCGTAGAAGTCAGAAAAAATAGAAGGAGTGAGGATAATTTTCTTTCAATTACTCTGTTACACTCTGTTATGTTATATTAGTTTTGTGTTATGATTTCAGTTCCTTGCTGTTAATGAAATTATTATGAGTTAAATTGATTTGTTACTGTAGTAAGTAACGCCATCATAAATTAATTATAATCTGCATAAAATGATTACTGTAGGACGTGCAAGGTTATTTCGTGATACATGAGTGTAGAGGAATGGTAAAGCATGTTGTATAAATTATACTTTTCTTGTCGTATATATATTTTGTCAATTCCATATGGCTTTTTAATTTAGTTAAAATTCAACTGTATTATGTAAATATAAAAATACTTACTTTTCATACAATGCAGAACTAAAATGAAATACAATGCTTTTCCATGAAAATAACAATTATTTTTAAATTGCTATTGTATCTCATTTTTTGCACTAAAAATGAGTACCGCAAAAATGATAATAAGTGAAAAATAACTTTCAATGGACTGCTCATGTAATTAATCTTCAATAGCTCTTATAATCTTCTGTATTTGCATTGCTAAAGAGGATTCCAAAGTAAGTTGAAATATACAATCAATTTGGAATAACGACGATCCTTCTTAAAATAATAAAAGTTTTGATATCATAACTTGCGCTCTCTCTCTCTCTCTCTCTCTCTCTCTCTCTGATCACGCTATACTATATCATTAGCTTCAAATTTATTTGTTCGTCTTGTTTAAAAATTTAAGAGTATAATTGTTATATCTGTATAATTGTTATATTTTAATTTTTCTGATAGAATTGTATTTTGGAATAAAAGTAGTTAATATCAAGCTTCTTCTTAAATCAAAAATTTGTAATTACAACCGAGTTTTAATCACATTTTATATTGTTATAAAGCTTGTTGATATTTAAAAGATGGAAACCAAAAGTCATTCAAAACAGAAGAATTTTTTTTTAATTTTAAGATGAAGAACTATTAGTCAATTAATTTTGAATAGTTTCGTTTTAGCTCCATTTCAAGAAATTAAGCTTTTTCAAAAATTTTATAATTTAAAATTAAGATAGATTTTCAGTCACACTTCTTAAAATTATAGCAATAAATTGAAAAATTCTTTAATTGTGCGATTTTTATGAATTTTTAATTTTAACATCCCATGCAGGTATGTGGCACAAAGTGAGGAAAGAAGATAAAAGAAAAGATGCTTCGCGGTTAAAAAGTTGCCGACAATGGAAGCACATCGTGCCGTGAATTCGCACATCGCGATTGTCAATGAATAAAATCTACAACCTAAATTTGTAGAATAAAGAATATTTTCAATATTTAAACTTGCCTTCTAGAGATCCGTATTCTTATGCAAGACAAGGTATTTTAATTATAAAATTAGAGAAAATATATGAGAATATAAAATTAAACATTTATAGTATATCTTCCTTACCTTTACTTGAAAAAAGAATAAAACGTGGGACATCTAATAACAGAGATTTTATTAACATGTTTGAAAGGCGAAACCGTTTCGCATAGCTCGCACCGTATAATCGACAAATTATTCGAACTGTATCATGACTTGCAACATTCTGCATGTCTCCTTAAAAGTACAAAATACGTATTACATATAGCATGATTCTTAAAATTACTTTTAAAATTACACTCTTAAAAAAGAAAAATAAAAACTCTTATATTAAACATCAACTTGTTCGAATGAAAGATCATTTTTTCATTTAAGATATTTAAATAATAAGTTATCTTTGATCGACAATGAAATAAAAACGTTTAAATCACATGAAACAAAAACATTTTAATCATTCTTATTGCGACATTGTACACTTATCGAGAAATAGTAAATAAGTTAAATGGTGAAACTCATTAATAATTTTATTAAAAAAATAAAATTAAACCGTCTACTTTTACTATGTAGGAAAGATATGAATAAGGAAATATATTTACTCCCCTTCCTCCCCTCTCTTCAGTTATCCATCATTTATCCCCAGAAACTCAGAAAATTTTACTTCGCCGCCTTTGTATTATATATATATATAAATGTAAATAAATATATACATATATTATTAATATTTGAAAAAATATTTATAAAAACAAGCCCTGTATATATCTGATTTGTTCCTTATTTTAAATATTATTATCTATATTATCTGGATATTTTATATAAGTTATATTATCATAAAAATTGTTACATAAAAATATTCAATTGTGTGCTAAATAATTTAATTAAATGAAAACTATATCGAGTTAATTTAACTTGTTAAATCAGTCCTATGTGAGATACATTAAAGTCACAGCCAATATGAATATTTGACTATAAATTAATAAACAAACTAATACGTTAAACACGGGTAAATATACACATGAACAGAAGATAGGGAAAATAAGAAAGGAGAAGAAACGCTCTTGAAACTCATTTAGTAGGATAAAGACTTGTCTTCGACATTCATCTCGAAATGCTAATGCAATACATTTCAAATGGATAAGTCTTCTGTAGATCCGTATTCCTACGCAAATCCAGGTATTTTAATTACATAATTAATTATATGAGAACGTAATATTAAACATTTGAGGTACACTCTTCTTATCTTTGCTTGAAAAAGAAAAAATAAAGCTTGTGACATCCGACAATAATGATTTTATTAGCATGTTTAAAAGTTAAAAATTGTCATGCATATCTCATTCCTAATTTTTTTAAATATTTGATTGTATTACAACTTGTGCGTGTCTCCTTAAAAGAATAAAGTACAAATTATATAGCATTTTTAATATTAATCCATACTGTACAAAACAAGAAAAGGAAAACACAATACAAAGTTTTAAATTACAGTATATTATGTTTCTAAAGTACTTATGTTTAATACATATATATCTACGGTAAATATTTGAATATCTTTCAATTTCTGTGATTATTTAATTATTAGATATTGCTAGGATAATTCATACCCATTTAGAATTATTCGTCGACTTTAATGAAACAGTCCTTCGCGGCACGGCAATTTTATTTATAGAAATGGAACCTGAATATGACGAAATAGTTAGTAAACATTTTCTTTTATTTTGAGCACAGTTTCGTAATTTTTTATTTGTAATTAATATATAACAATTGAACAATTAGATTTTAGATATCTACCAACTCAATGAAGATAAGATGGATGTCTTAGAATACTTCAGTAGTGATAAATTAAAATATAACGTTAAACAAAACCGTAGTGTTGGAAGTAAATCTGTTATTATTCGGATACCGCACAAATATAGAGGTCGTTTCACTGAATATAAATATTGCAATAAGCCATATCAAATTGACTATAAGTAAGTATAAAATGTTTCAAAACCTGCAGATTTCAGAAAATATTGAAATAAATATTTTATACGTAAAAATTTATCATATTTTACAGTTGTGCAATTTTGATTATGTATGAAACACGTAAAGATTCTCCTGTACTGTATTGGTTAAGAAGTGACCAAACTTCTGATGGCACTCATCCTTTGCTAATAACTAACAACAAGGTAAATTATACGATAAATTATATGATAAATAAATAAACAGTAAATTCTATAAATTCACAGTAATGATAACACATTTTTAGTTTACATATGCCAGAGGAATATTTCCCTGTCAAGATTCACCATCTGTTAGATTTACATTCACCGCGGAGGTAAGAATTTAAGTAGTTATCACTTATATTTTATATGTATATACATATATTAAAGATGTTTTATTTTTTCATATTTCCTCTTAAAGTTAAATTCTTGAAATAATTTTTAGACGAAAGTCTTACTGCAAAAAATGTCGAAGTTATAATAGTTTTATAATAATTTTAAATTAACAGTGATTAAAATTCATTAATGACACAGATGATATTTTATCCACTCTCAGACACGATAGTATGACAAGTAGGAATGATGAAGATCTCCTTTACGCAATACTTCTATTAGGAAATTATTTCCGTTTTTCTAAGGTATCTTTTTATATGTTACAAATACACAAGCAAGATACGGTATCATCTATGATGTCACTTACCGAAATGAATTTAAAATCAGGATTATTTATCTCGTACGGTAAACTTTTATATTTTGGTAGACAAACTACTTTTGACGTGAAAAAAAGATGTATTATTGTTAAATTGATAATTAATTTAATTTGTTATTATTATTCAGTAGCAGTAGCAGTAGCAGTAGCAGTATCAGAGATCATAGAGCAGAGAGCAGTAGCAGTAGCAGTAGCAGTAGCAGTAGCAGTAGCAGTAGCAGAGAGCAGAGAGCAGTAGCAGTAGCAGGAGAGGAGCAGGAAGAAAAAATAAAGCTTGTGACATCCGACAATAATGATTTTATTAGCATGTTTAAAAGTTAAAAATTGTCATGCATATCTCATTCCTAATTTTTTTAAATATTTGATTGTATTACAACTTGTGCGTGTCTCCTTAAAAGAATAAAGTACAAATTATATAGCATTTTTAATATCAATCCACACTATAAAAACAAGAAAAAGTGTATACAATATAAAGTATTGAATTACAGTACATTACATTTCTTATGTACTTACGTTTATAATATGTATATATATATATATATATATATATATATATATATATATATATATATATATATATATATATATATATATATATATATATATATATATATATATATATATATATATATATATATATATATATATATATATCCACAGTAAATATTTGAATATCATTCAATTTCTGTAATCATTTAATTATTAGGTATTGCTAGGGTAATTCATACCCATTTAGAATTATTCGTCGACTTTGATGAAACAGTCCTTCGCGGCACGGCAATTTTATTTATAGAAATGGAACCTGAATATGACGAAATAGTTAGTAAACATTTTCTTTTATTTTGAGCACAGTTTCGTAATTTTTTATTTGTAATTAATATATAACATTGAATAATTAGATTTTAGATATCTACCAACTCAATGAAGATAAGATGGATATCTCAGAATACTCGAGTAATGATAAATTAAAATATGACGTTAAACAAACTCCCCGTAATATTGGAGTAAATGAATTTGTTGTTATTCAGATACCGCAGAAATATAGAGGTCGTTTCACTGAATTTAAATATAAATATTGCAATGAGCCATATCAAATTGACTATAAGTAAGTATAAAATGTTTCAAAACCTGCAGATTTCAGAAAATATTGAAATAAATATTTTATACGTAAAAATTTATCATATTTTACAGTTGTGCAATTTTGATTATGTATGAAACACGTAAAGATTCTCCTGTACTGTATTGGTTAAGAAGTGACCAAACTTCTGATGGCACTCATCCTTTGCTAATAACTAACAACAAGGTAAATTATACGATAAATTATATGATAAATAAATAAACAGTAAATTCTATAAATTCACAGTAATGATAACACATTTTTAGTTTACATATGCCAGAGGAATATTTCCCTGTCAAGATTCACCATCTGTTAGATTTACATTCACCGCGGAGGTAAGAATTTAAGTAGTTATCACTTATATTTTATATGTATATACATATATTAAAGATGTTTTATTTTTTCATATTTCCTCTTAAAGTTAAATTCTTGAAATAATTTTTAGACGAAAGTCTTACTGCAAAAAATGTCGAAGTTATAATAGTTTTATAATAATTTTAAATTAACAGTGATTAAAATTCACTAATGACACAGATGATATTTTATCCACTCTCAGACACGATAGTATGACAAGTAGGAATGATGAAGATCTCCTTTACGCAATACTTCTATTAGGAAATTATTTCCGTTTTTCTAAGGTATCTTTTTATATGTTACAAATACACAAGCAAGATACGGTATCATCTATGATGTCACTTACCGAAATGAATTTAAAATCAGGATTATTTATCTCGTACGGTAAACTTTTATATTTTGGTAGACAAACTACTTTTGACGTGAAAAAAAGATGTATTATTGTTAAATTGATAATTAATTTAATTTGTTATTATTATTCCAGTTTTAGTTTGGTATTGAGTTTCAAAAATCAATAATTAACTATTAGCGCACAGTTTGCAGAATTGGAAAATATGTTTAAAAATTTAGCAGGTAAAACATTGTTTATAAAACTATTAACTTTCATCGCTGTTAATATAAAAACTATTATAACCTTGACATTTTTGCATTAGAATTTCCGATTGTAAATTACTTCAAAAATACTTTAAAGAAAGATTCGGCACAAATAGGGCACAATTTATATAGGATGTGTCAAATAAGTCTGCATATCTCAAATATATACGCTATTTATAGACATATAAAAATGAGTTATTTACAAAAGCTGTATAACATCTAATATACTACAATATGATATTAATAATTGTTCTGGCGTGGAGACAGTTTCGGAGGTATCATAATTATCTGCACTTTTTGAAATTATATGGTTTTCTTACGCAATACTATCCCTGTAGTTATTTTGTATACAAAAGTATTTAGATACAGAAATAAAAAAAAATCTACTTTGTAAGATGTTCAATACTTTATGCTAATACGTTAGAATAAAGTATAAAATTTCTCGTAAATTATAGATTTTTGATATTTTACTTTAATATTTTTATATATAAGATAGAGGAAACATATTACGTATAGAAAATAACATAATTCCATTTTAAAAAGTGATTAAAAAATCAATTACCACGAAATCCCTGCAACGCCTTCATCCAGTGTACAAAATTACTAGTAGCATTGTTACTTGTCCTTCTGATGTGTTATATAACTTTCGTCATTAAATAATTTTCATGTTCTCTAAAAATAGTATAAAAATAATCGAGGTGAACAGGGTTATTACTCCATACTATATGACACATATGGTGACTAATAAATGATTACCAATATTATTTTAAAAATAATGAAACTTTGAAATAATGAATCTTTTTATAAAACTTTTTATAAAACATAAAAAGATATACAGAATGCCCAACAGAACAACGTTTAAGAGGAGATTCTTAATATCACGTTGAGATGTAAGTCCTAATGATAAAATGTTGAGCGAAATTATTTTTTTTTGACGTAATAAATATCAATAATTAGAAATATTAGTTACTGTATCTTCGCTTACATAATCTTTGCATCGATATTTACAAGAGGCAATAATTAGCTTTCACTTTTAGCATCGTATCATATTCGAACGCAAATCTTAGGCGGTATACTTCGTTAACTTTTATAGTTAAAAAATTATTATAGCCTTGACTTTTTTAAGATAATTAGAACTTTCATCTCAAAATAATGTAAGACATTTCATCTTAAGCGTTGTTCGGGTCATTACGAGATACCCTTTATATTTATAATTTTATGATATTTTCTCATATGCTATTTTAATTAATTACAGAAATATTAATTATGATAAATAACGGATTCCTGACAATTATAAGTGACATATATGAGTCAGGTGTGATAATAAACTATTGCGGAAATAAAACTTTTCTTTTGTCAAAAAATAAAATACGTTGAATAAAGTCATAAATTATAAATTGCTTGAATGTTTTGGCTTGAATGATTAGGCGATGCATACAAAAAATAGCAGTAGTAAACTGTAATTCATCATTGAAAATTTAAAAAGTGTCGCAATCCTTTTAAACATATTCAGTAATTTTTGTCAAATAATAAATTACAGTTTATAAAATAGTCGGTGTTTAAAATTGATTAAATATAAATATAAACTATGAAGTCCGTTAAAATTAATTAAACTTGAATATTTCTCGTCTAAATATTTTTGATTAAAAAGGACGTGTGTATTTGACGTGAGATGAACATTGACCGAATAAAAGTTTTTTGTCTATTAAAATTATCGGTAAATAAGCTTTATTTGTGGACTTTCCGTGTCTATTTGTAAAACTAATTTGGTTGTTCATTGATAAAGAGCATCTGAGCAATTAATTTACATAGATATGGCCTCTTTTAGACTCTCGATAATATCCCAGTCAAAATCATGGTCTAATTGTAACCCAAACAGAACAATAAGCAATTATGCTATAAAAATAATGTCAAAATGATTAAAAAATGATTGTTAAAATTATTTTTCAATTCATTTTAATTCCATTTTTAACGTCATGACTTCTTGTTCTACTTAGGAATCTATAGTATGAAATAACTCAACAGGTAGACATGCTTCAACGAATGTGATGTTTATGTTCAGATATACTGCTTCTTAATTGTCTAACCGTTCGATAATCACATACGCAGCATCGCAGTTTTTTTTTTGTCAATTATTGGGTGTGCCAAAAAATTATTACGTTTTTTTCTTGAAAACAGATTTTTCATGAAACAAATTAATGTTTCTCAACGCAAGATTTGGATATGTTCTTAGTAATCTCTTCTTAGTAATCTTTTTCTTCCAGTAATCTCCCGTGATGGTAAACATCGATTAAAGTCAGTCAATGCCTCTATTTTGTCGGTATCATCTTTGTTCTTCCTGAGCATAGTGCATCCTTAACATCAAAATCTGTTGACCGAAATTTTGCGAACCAATTCTAACATTGTCGTAGTTTCAAGGCATCTTCATCATACATATTACACTTAACTTTTTATGAGCTTGCATAGCGTTTTTTCCTTTTCGGAAGTAATAGAGTAAGATATTCTTTTTAATTTCCGTATTAAAATCAACATAAAAAGATAATTCTTAAATCATGTATGTTTTTTCTAAAACAAGCTTTAAAGAATAATCTGTCACGATATATAGTTAATTGCCATTTAAAATGAAGTTATATTTCAAGGGTTTTTCTGGAAAAAAACGGAATTACTTTTTTTGGGTAATTCAGAACATTATTCTTCCAGAAATGTGATCGAGGATTCTTATAGATTTTGATAAATTATAACCTTTTAACGCTAAAAAAAGGAAACTCGTACATTTTTATTATTAAATTGAATATATTTTTCTGAGACACTTGGAACAGGAGGGACAGTGAACCATGCGAATTGATTATTGAGTCGGAATGTTTTTTGAGTCATTTATTAAGTAAGTAAGTCAAATTGTAAATGATGTCAAAAATAAATTCTAGTGGGTACTGTCTTTATTAAGTAATATATTAATAAAAAATTTAAAGTTCTTTGCGTGACATTCAAAATTAACTCAGTTTTTGTCATGATGATGATTCAAACCATTGTTTTCCATTCATGTTGCTTACCATATAATTCTCGGCATATCATGAAGCCATGCGGAATGTCAACCGCTTTTGGGTGATAATTTTGACTTTGAAAATTGATAATAACTCATTATGAACTTTCACGACTTTCTCAATTAAGATGTGGATATGTATTTGATCTTGATCTGAGGAGGGTGCTCAAAATTAGAAAGAAATATGTAATTAACTTATAATTGATATCTTTAATATAATTGATACCTTTAATGTTCTTAACAACAATTACGTTTGACTTTTCTATATCACTGTTATTTATTATATAATTTATTATATAATTTATTTTACTGTATAGAGAGAGTGAGAGAGAGAGAGAGAGAGAGAGAGAGAGAGAGAGAGAGAGAGAGAGATAGGTCATTACTTATATTTATTTTTCATTTATTAAAAATTTCTGTACCAAATAATTTCAATACCATTATAATATGTGGGAGGACATGTAGACCTATAATAAATGATGGAGACCGATACATATACATGTGTTTTGAAATGTTTCCGATGCCGTCATATTCAATGATTATTATAGTTGGTTCATTAGAAACCATACACCTTGATTTACAACATAACGTCAGTTTGTGGGTCGAAAAAAAATATATTGAGCAAAGTAGATCATGTTTCGCAAATTTCCATCATATTCTTACTATTGCCAAAGAATTGTGTGGTCCTCTATATAAATGTACAGGTAAAACATCAAATAATTGTCACATTCCAAAAAAGATTAATGTGGATTTTACACTACGATATGTTTATTATCTCATAGTAGGGGACTTTCCTCTATACTATAAACACGTTAAAAGTTATGTACAACAGGTTATTAAAATCATCCGATGTTTTTTAAAGTGTAAATTGAACTATACTAAATTGAATCAAATTGTTATGTACAATGATATTTTTCGTGAATGATTATTTACTATTAATTTTGTTTTATAAACGTATATTAAAATGATAATTGTAGATGATGTACGTGAATACAATATATGTGTGCTTCCACCAAATATCCCAGAAATTGATTTGTCATGTCTTTCAATGATATTTGTGTCATCAACTTTACTTAACGAAGATTCCTTTTTGATATGCAGTACGATTGCTCAAAAAGTTGCTCAGAATTGGGCAGGAGGTTTAGTTACGTGTACAAATTTCCAACATTTGTGGTTAAATAAAAGTTTTAGTACCTTCATATCTAGAAGAATTATGTATTTTATGTATCAGCAAAATATAATTCCTGATAAAATGTCATTTCTGGAAAGAAAAACCGTTAACGATCTTATAATTAAGGTAAATCATTAATATTTCATTCAGACGGAAACTGTCGAAATATACACATTGAAACTGTTGATTGATAACTGATCAATGATTAATAACAACAATTTACTCTTTTACAACTTTACAGAATTACTTACTTATACACATTTATATTTCGCATACGTATTCGTATTTCTACATACAGTAAATCAAGTAAGAGCGTGGTCTTACTCAAAGCTAATAAAAGATATCGCCCTATCATGAAATCTATCATGAATTCATAGAGAGCACCTTTTTCCTTGATGTACTATCAAGGAAGAATTGTCATTTGAACTTTCATAAGAGAATCATATTAAGCATCATAAATACCAAATACGCATCACGCTGTGTACCTCTGCACTCACCCGAAAGGTCCAAAAATGTCACAATTAGCGACTGCTAAATATGAAAAAGTCGAAGTCATTCGTACAGAAATGGGTGCAGTGATATAATGTGGCAAAAAATGTCGATGATTTACCGGAATGTGGCTTGATATGCAAAGTGGACAAAAAAGACGATAAAAAAATAGTAAATCTGTTTTAACACGGAATCCTGGCTTAACACTGCGGCAAGGACAAGCAAAATTGAAGCAGAAAGGTTTAGATATATCGTACGAAACTATTCGAACCTATCTCGGGGTTAATAACATGAAAATGTTGCACACAGTTTTTTATAAATTAATTCGACCACGCTCTTCTTACTTGACTTACTGTACATATACTTATCTGCATTCTTACCTCATTATTTTTCTTTAAATTTTGTTAATATTACAGATAAATTCACTTGATATTGATTCTGGACAGAAACTAGTACCTAATTTGAAAAATATTTTACCCAAAGATATCACAAAATGTGTAATTGACGAATTGGGATATATTCTTTTGAATTACTTAGAACATTTTTTAGGATCAAGACATTTCGAATTATATCTTAAATCTTATTTTTGGGATTTTCGTTTTAAAAGTATAAATACTCATGATTGGCTGATCCATCTGTTTTATTATTTTGTTGACATACAAGAGGTAACATCTTTCTGTGTAAACATATTAGAATTTTAGCATTTATTCATTGAATTAACATATAATAACTCTTATGTATCTACTTCTAGAAACTAAAATCAATATTGACTAAGTGGATTTATGGACCGAATTTAAGACATATGCCTATTGAAGATATATGTACTTTGTATCCCGAGCTGCATTGTCTAATGACAAAAAGTCAAGGATACCTATTAGCAACACGGTGGATCACGACAGAAGCATTTAATAATTTTGCTTTATTGTTGAATGAATTAAAATTTTGTAATAATAATCTTGAGAGAAGAGAATTCTTATTCCACTTATATGCATCGAATGCGATTTTACCGGTTGCAAAGTTATGGTGGCTGCGTCATATGTTTCCTCTTGACGAGCAAACCTGTGAAAATCGGTAAATATTGCCGGTATATCTATATTTAAAAATTGATTTGAAATTATATAGCATAATGCATACGTATCTCCTAGGTTTCTTTTGCTACTTTTGTACATAAAAAATAAATGGTTGGAAATGATTCAACCTGCTTTGGAATTTGTCCGCGAATATTGTTCACCAATGTTTGCGTGTCCAATATTTAGTGAATTGTACGAATTGGAAGAGGCGCGTCACCTGGCGATCTCAGGGTTTATAGCCATTGTGGAGAAGAAGTGCAAAATGCTTCCCTCAACCATCCAAGAAGTAGCATATATTCTTAAAATTAATTTAAAGGATATATATATATTAACAAGTGAAGGAAGTACTCTGCATGTAAAAACAGGACATGTTTGAAATCAAGAAGAAATCGTAATGAGTTAATTTAAATGAATACGAAATAATTATAAACTAAATATTATAATAACTACACTGTTAGAAATGTAATCACGAGCTTCCTTTACATGTAGATGAAGCTCATGGTTATGAATGAAATTAAAAGTAATGAATGATTTAACTGAAAATTAAGTTATAATTACTTTAATGTGATTAACGTGTACATTAAATTTATGAAATTTAATGTATTTGCAATAAAATTTTATGAAAAGTATATTAAATTTCATAAATTTTTATGAAAAATATGTTAAATTTTATATATAGTTACACAAATATACTTTTTAATTATAAATACATTAAATTTAATTTATTCAGTCATAAAATTAAATTTAAATTGCGTAACTCAAAAGGTATTAAAATTTAAGAACATTTCTAACATGTAATGTTAATTATTTGTATATAGATTAAATTGTATTTTAATAATTACTTAATAAAAAGTATAAACTTAGTTCTGTTATATATATTTACATGTGTAAAAAATATGTAGAATTGCTTTCTTTTGTATGGTTCTGTCTATGGATGCGTTCGGGGAGACACTATTCGCGCTATGAATGCAAATGCTACCAATGCTGTTTATGGAGCTAATAACACGATAGCATTAATAAGCTCCATAAACGATTCTATCGTTTGGTAGTGTTTAATCAGAGAGATTTAATCTTCGTCGAAGTTAAGTTAATGTAGGAGATTCTGTTTTCAATCACCAACGACTTTCTTTGTAATAATTAAATGTTTTACTTTGGTAGTGTATACGTAACATTTTTTATTTTCTCGTAGTGAATAAAAGAACGCAATCTTAATTACAATTTCTATAATGACTTGCTGCTAGGCCAAAATGAACGATGTAAATTCGATAAAAAATTAATAGTTACACTGAGTAAATTAATCAGCTAAAAGGAGGAATTCTTGAGTATCTGTTGTCGATTCGAGAAGAAGCATATCTACGATTAATTATGTCTATACCTATCTAATTATATTGTACACTCTATACGTGTAAGAAAAATACTAAAAGAAATAATTAAATGTAATTGCAGCATTTGCAATATTTTGAAAAGAAAAATTGCGATTATATCATGTAATTAATATTCAGTGTATAATTATATACACATTGGTATGAAGACATTTATTGTACGGTTAGGAATGAAAAGCTATTTTGCAACGCTTTTTTGCAAAACAGTTTTTTTTTTCGGAATGCAACTTGCTCACCGAGTAATTGGTTCTTATTCATAAATCGACAAATAAATATGAAAGAACAATTTTTCTTGTCCTGTCTTTATTTTTTATTTAAAAAAAACAATAAAAATATTTATGTTCATCATCTATTAATTATTTTTCATTTTTTTGCTTATAATTGTTCTTGTGTACAGACAAGAGAAAAAAAAAGTATATTTTGTTTATATAGCGTCTCGCATTTTCTCTTAACGACGTATTCTTAATGTAATTTAGAGATGAAAATCTTATTATAAAAATGTCGAGGCCATAATAGTTTTTAAGTTAATACTGATAAAAATGATTCACTAATCACAAAGTTTCATATAGATTTTATATAGAAGCAGAAAGAGTTTCTTATTTTAAGCAGTTTCTATATTTAAGCATTTTATTAATAAGAATATCATTGAATATTGATATGATAATCTCGATGCTTTTAAGAAAATTTCCTAATAGCACTTTTACTACTTGTCATATCATTATGTCTTAGCGAAATGTCAGTTCTGTTACTAGTGAACTTTAATTGCTATTATTTTAAATTATTATAGCCCCAACATTTTTGTATTAAAATCTTTATTTCTAAATTACCTCAATGATACGTGTTTAAAAAGAAACAGCATAAAGCTCCTTAGGATAATCCTGAATACATCCTGAATATCCTGTGACATAGTATATGAGATATATTTAGGACATTATACTAATTGTAACATTAAAATTAAAAAATTTAGAATGTCCTTAGGCTTAATAAATATAATAAGTGCCTAAAAAAATTATTTTTCACAGTGTTATATTGGACCTTTATAATTATACATTTATATAGATTACTTTTTATGAGGTACTTTTTATTTCAGTATTTTAGTCTGTTTTAATAATATTTAAAATGATTGCGTATAGTAATTACACTAAATACACTACTACGGCAAATATACGCTGGGATTTATGTCACAGAAGTCAGAAAAAATAGAAGGAATGGGGGTAATTTTCTCTCAATTACTCTATTACATACCGTTATGTTATATTAGTTTTGTGTTATAATTTCAGCTCCTTGCTGTTAATATTAATGATATTATTATGAATTAAATTGATTTGTCACTGTAGTAAGTAACGCCATCATAAATTAATTATATTCTGCATAAAATGATTACTGTAGGACGTGCAAAGTTATTTCGTGATACACGAGTGTAGAGGAATGGTAAAGCATGTTGTATAAATTATACTTTTCTTATCGTATTTATATTTTGTCAATTTCATATTGCTGTTTAATTTAGTTAAAATCCAACTATATTATGTAAATATAAAAATACTTTCAATACAATACAGAACTAAAATGAAATATAATTTCCATGGGAAAATAGCAATTATTTTTAAATTGCTATTTTATCTCATTTTTTGCACTAAAAATAAGTTTTTATCGCAAAAGTGATAATAAGCGAAATAACTTTCAATGGACTTGAAGTAAATAATCTTCAAAAGCTCGGTATTGCTGAAGAGGACTCCAAAGTGAGTTGAAATGTACAATCAATTTGGAATAACGACGATCCTTCTTGAAAAGTAATAAAAGTTTTGATATCATGCCTTGCGCTCTCTCTCTCTCTCTCTCTCTCTCATCACGCTTTACTATCATTAGCCTTGAATGAATTTATTTGTTTGTCGTGTTTAAAAATTTAAGAGTTTGTATAATTGTTATATTTTAATTTTTCTGATAGAATTGTATTTTGGAAAATGAATGAAAATAGTTAATATTAAGCTTATCTATTTCTTAAATCAAAAATTCATAATTATAACCGAGTTTTAATCATTTTATATTGTTACATTTATACATTTTATATGTTTTATATTGTTATGAAGCTTGATGATATTTAAAAGATGGAAACCAAAAGTCATTCAAAACGGAAGAATTTTTTTTTAATCTTAAGATGAAGAACTATTAGTCAATTAATTTTGAATAGTTTCGTTTTAGCTCCATTTCGAGAAATTAAGCTTTTTCAAAAATTTTATAATTTAAAATTAAGATAGATTTTCAGTCACACTTCTTAAAATTATAGCAATAAATTGAAAAATTCTTTAATTGTGCGATTTTTATGAATTTTTAATTTTAACATCCCATGCAGGTATGTGGCACAAAGTGAGGAAAGAAGATAAAAGAAAAGATGCTTCGCGGTTAAAGAGTTGCCGACAATGGAAGCACACCGCGCCATGAATTGATCGTCAATGAATAGAATCTACAACCTAAATTTGTAGATTAAAGAATATTTTCAATATTTAAATGGACTTGCCTTCTAGAGATCCGTATTCTTATGCAAGACAATTTGTGTATTTTGATTATAAAATTAGATATATGAGAATATAAAATTAAACAATTACAGTTTTTTTTATCTTTACTTGAAAAAAGAATAAAACGTGGAACATCTAATAACAGAGATTTTATTAACATGTTTGAAAGACGAAACCGTTTTGCATAGCTCGCACCGTATAATCAACAAATTATTCGACTGTATCATGACTTGCAACATTCTGCATGTCTCCTTAAAAATCCAAAATACGTATTACCCATAGCATGATTCTTAAAATAACTCTTAAAATTACATTCTTAAAATCTCTCTTTATTATAAAAATAATACAAAAAAATGTATAAAAGGTGTAATTACGTTATTCCCTATGTGCTATTATGCTTATTATACATTTATATATCCTTATTAAATATTTGTATAATTTCTCAATTTCTATAATCTTTCAATTATTAGAATCTGCTAAAGTAATTCATATCTATTTAGAATTATTTGTCGATTTTGATGAAAATATTCTTCCCGGCAATCTTTTCGGGACAATTCTGTTTATAGAAAAGCAAAGTGGATAATGACTAAAGAACAACGGAACTTCTGACGGAGGTTGTGCATTATGTAGAGCGGACTAACTTGAGTCGGAAAGATCTCTACCATTTTACCATTTTACATTTTACAATAGTTAACGAAATATTAGTCTCTAAAGGTTACCGAATCTCCGAATACCGCGTCCGCTCGACCTACTACTACGTCAAGCAAATGGCCTAGGAAGCGTGTCATTCGGAAGCTCCGAACAAAATAATAAAATATTATTTGTTCTAATTATTCATATTTTATATCAATTTTATACCATATAAATAATATAGTATGTATTACATTATATATGCGGTGTAAAATTTCTATGAAGAATACTTTATATTCAATATAAAATAAATTTTCTGTTACCATCACGATAAAAAGAATGAAAAAACACCAGAATTGGTGGTATTTATTCAATTTATTGCATACATAATATTTGCAAATTTTCTGATTTTCAACTTTGAATGGTTTAACACATAATACCTTTTATACGTGATTCTACAATATATTGCAAATACTTAAGAAAAAACCCTATATCAAACAAATCTTAGGCGACCCAAAGAATATGTTATTCATAAGGTATTCATTCTAAGAACCAAACCAATATTTTGATATTTACACAAAATTTTATATTATTATTAATCTCATTGTTTTTTAAATGAGATGTGATAATTTAATTATAATACTATAATAAAAGATTATATACTATTATAATAAAAGATTTAAGATTAATAATAATAAGTTTTGTGTGTGTGTGTGTGTGTGTGTGTGTGTGGTTAATGTCCGGACAAAGATACATGTCCGATCATTGGGATTACCCATTTTCTTATCTTAAAGTGACTTTATGCTTTAGGAGAAAAATATTTCAATAAATATTCATTAAAAGTTGAACGAATAAATGTGCAGTAGGGAGAAATAATGTTTATGTATTTTCGTATATGGATGTTGTTAATAATGATATTTTGTCAAATAAAATTACAGACATTATCTTATACAATTCAATTCCTTTATAATTATAGCAACCTAAAATATGAAAATATTTAAAAAAATTACAACAAAAATTTTTGTAATATATTTTATGCTTTAGTATTTTATGTTTAACGTATTTTGAGATATTGTACGTATACAATAAATAATCACTTTGTAAACTGTTCAATTTTTAACTTATTTATTTATTCATTATTATGTTATTTCAGTATTTCTAACAATACTTCATTACTTTAATCATTTTTATACACTTTTAAGACAAAAATATGTATGGATGGGAAAAAGATGTATAACATACAAAAATTTACTAAATATATACTAAGGTACATATACTTAATCATGGGGGGCGACTCCACTATGTTTGATATGGAGTACACTGAATGATTCATTGTAATGAAATTCCGTACACTGGATTTTATATCTGTATAATATATGATCGAGGAGATATTTAGAAATTAGAAAATGTAATTTAAAAATTACAAACTTACGAAAAATATCACTATATTGCTTGAAGGATATATAGTGTATTTTTACATATATAACAATCCTGAAATTAGATCTTGTATCAGAATACATAAAATTTATTCGCGTTCTTTACCGATTCAATTACATCAACTTGTTCGAATGAAAGATTTTTTTATTTAAGACATTTAAATAGTTATCTTTGATCAACAATGAAAAAAAACGTTTAAATCATATTGCGACATTGTACATTTATCGAGAAATGGTAAATAAGTTTAACATGGAGGAGCTCATTAATAATTTTATTTAAAAAATTAAATTAAAGTAACTATTTTTGCCTTGTAGAATAGATATATATATAAGGAAATATATTTATCCCCCCCCCCAACGCTCCTAAGCCATCCTAAGCGCTCCATCAATCTGTCTTCGGGAACTACATACACTGAAAAATTTTACTTCATCGCTTTTGTACTTAATATATATATCCACATGATTATAAATTATTGCATATTGTGAAGAACAGATAGGAAATAATGGAAATTATGAAAATAAGGTATATACAGATATATTTATATATATTTGAAAAAATATTTAAAAAGACAAACCATGTGTTTATCTGACTTGTTCTTTGTTTTAAATAAATTTCTATATCATCTTGATATTTTATACAAGTTATATTGTCATAAATATTATATAAAAACGTTGAATTGTGTGCTAAGTAAGATTATGGCCGAAATGTCTAATGTTTTTATTAATGTAATGATAATTAAATATCACAAACTATAACTTGTGCGGCGGTTTTTTATGCTCTTCTTTTCATACGTTTTGAATTATAAACCACGTTCGTTTTTATGATGTATTCTAAGTAATTTAATTAAATAAAACTATATCGAGTGAATTTAATTTATTAAATCAGTCCTATTTGAAATACATTAAAGTCATAGTCAATATATATACTATAAGTTGCGTATAAACAAATTAATACGTTAAACAGAGGAAAATATAAACATAAACAGAAAGTAGGGTAATAAGAAAGAAGAAGGAGCGCTACGCTCTTGAAATTGATTTAGTAGGATAAAGACTTGTCTTCAACATTCATCTCGAAAGGATAATGCAATACATTTCAAATGGATATGCCTTATGTAGATCCGTATTCCTACGCAAAACCAGGTATTTTATTATTTTATTTAATTACATAATTAATTATATGAGATGATACGTAATATTAAACATTTGAAGTACACTCTTCTTATCTTTGTTTAAAAAAAAAAATAAAACGTGTGACATCCGAGAATAATAATTTTATTAGCATGTTCAAAAGGTAAAAACTGTCATGCATATCTTATTCCTAATTTTTTTAAATATTTGATTGTATTACAACTTATGCGTGTCTTCTTAAAAGAATAAAGTACAAATTATATAGCATTTTTAATATCAATCCACACTATAAAAACAAGAAAAAGTGTATACAATATAAAGTATTGAATTACAGTACATTACATTTCTTATGTACTTACGTTTATAATATGTATATATATATATATATATATATATATATATATATACACAGTAAATAAATATTTGAATATCATTCAATTTCTGTAATCATTTAATTATTAGGTATTGCTAGGGTAATTCATACCCATTTAGAATTATTCGTCGACTTTGATGAAACAGTCCTTCGCGGCACGGCAATTTTATTTATAAAAACGAAAGCTAGATGTGAAGAAATAGTTAGTAAACATTTTCTTTTATTTTGAGCACAGTTTTGTAGTTTTTTATTTGTAATTAATATATAACATTGAATAATTAGATTTTAGATATCTACCAACTCAATGAAGATAAGATGGATATCTCAGAATACTCGAGTAATGATAAATTAAAATATGACGTTAAACAAACTCCCCGTAATATTGGAGTAAATGAATTTGTTGTTATTCAGATACCGCAGAAATATAGAGGTCGTTTCACTGAATTTAAATATAAATATTGCAATGAGCCATATCAAATTGACTATAAGTAAGTATAAAATGTTTCAAAAACTGCAGATTTCAGAAAATATTGAAATAAATATTTTATACGTAAAAATTTATCATATTTTACAGTTATGCAATTTTGATTACGTATGAAACACGTAAAGATTCTCCTGTACTGTATTGGTTAAGAAGTGACCAAACTTCTGATGGCACTCATCCTTTGCTAATAACTAACAACAAGGTAAATTATACGATAAATTATATGATAAATAAATAAACAGTAAATTCTATAAATTCACAGTAATGATAACACTATATTTTTAGTTTACATATGCCAGAGGAATATTTCCCTGTCAAGATTCACCATCTGTTAGATTTACATTCACCGCGGAGGTAAGAATTTAAGTAGTTATCACTTATATTTTATATGTATATACATATATTAAAGATGTTTTATTTTTTCATATTTCCTCTTAAAGTTAAATTCTTGAAATAATTTTTAGACGAAAGTCTTACTGCAAAAAATGTCGAAGTTATAATAGTTTTATAATAATTTTAAATTAACAGTGATTAAAATTCATTAATGACACAGATGATATTTTATCCATTCTCAGACACGACAGTATGACAAGTAGGAATGATGAAGACCTCCTTTACGCAATATTTCTATTAGGAAATTATTTTCATTTTTCTAAGGAATCTTTTTATATGTTACAAGTACACAAACAAGATACGGTATCATCTACGATGTCACTTGCCGAAATGAATTTAAAATCATGATTATTTATCTCATATATAAATATAAACTTTTATATTTTGGTAGACAAATTATTTTTGACGTGAAAAAAAAGTAGATGTATTATTATTAAATTGATAATTAATTAAATGAGTTATTATTATTCCAGTTTTAGTTTGGGATTGCGTTTCGAAATCAATATTAACTATTAGCGCACAGTTTGCAGAATTGGGAAATATGTTTAAAAAGTTAAAAATATGTTTAGCAAGTGAACGTTGTTTATGAATTATTAACTTTCCCTATTAATTGTTGTTACTATAAAAACTATTATAACCTTGACATTTTTGCATTAGAATTTCTGACCGTAAGTAACTTCAAAAATACTACTTTAAAGAAAGATTCGGTACAAATAGGGCACAATTTATACAGGATGTGTCAAATAAGTCTGTTTATCTCAAATATATACGATATTTATAGACGTATAAAAATGAATTATTTACAAAACCTGTATAGCACCAAATATACTACAAAATGATACTAATAATTGTTTTCTGCGTGGAGACGGTTCGGATGTATCATAATTATCTGCATTTTTTGGAATAATATGATTTTCTTACGCAATACGATCCCTGTAGTTATTTTGTATATAAAAGTATTTAGATACAGAAATAAAAAAAATCAACTTTGTAAGATGTTTAATATTTTATGCTAATACGTTAAAATAAGTATAAAATTTCTCGTAAATTATAGATTTTCGATATTTCACTTTAATATTTTCATATGTAAGGTAATTAGAGGAAACATGTTACGTAGAAAATAACATAATCCATTTAAAAAAGTGATTTAAAAATCAGTTATCACGAAATCCCTGAAACGCCTTTCTCTAGTGTACAAAATTACTATTTAGTAGTGAGTATTGTTACTTGCCCTTCTGATGTGTTGTATAACTTTCATCATTAAATAATATTCATATTTCTAGAAATAATATAAAAATAATCTAGATGAACAGGGTTATTACTACACACTATATGACAGTGGTGACTGATAACTGATTACCGATATTATTTTAAAAATAACGAAACTTTGAAATAATGAATCTTTTTATATAAAACATAAAAAGATATACAGAATGTCCAGAACAAGTTTAAGAGGAGATTCTTAATATTATGTTGAGATGTAAGTCCTAATAATAAAATGTTGAGTGAATTTTTTTTTTGACGTAATAAATACCAATAATTAGAAATATTAATAACTGTATCTTCGCTTACATAATCTTTGCATCGATATTTACAAGAGGCAATAATTAGCTTTCAGTCATGCGGAATGTCAACCGCTTTTGGGTGATAATTTTGACTTTGAAAATTGATAATAACTCATTATGAACTTTCACGGCTTTCTCAATTAAGATGTGGATATGTATTTGATCTTGATCTGAGGAGGATGCTCAAAATTAGAAAGAAATATGTAATCAACTTATAATTGATATCTTTAATATAATTGATACCTTTAATGTTCTTAACAACAATTACGTTTGACTTTTCTATATCACTGTTATTTATTATTTTACTGTATAGAGAGAGTGAGTGAGAGAGAGAGAGAGAGATAGGTCATTACTTATATTTATCTTTCATTAATTAAAAATTTTTTTCTAGATTTCTGTACCAAATAATTTCAATACCGTTATAATATGTGGGAGGACATGTAGACTTATAATAAATGATGGAGACCGACATATATACATGTGTTTTGAAATGTTTCCGATGCCGTCATATGCAATGATTATTATGGTTGGTTCATTAGAAACCATACACCTTGATTTACAACATAACGTCAGTTTGTGGGCCGAAAAAAAATATATTGAGCAAAGTAAATCATGTTTCGCAAATTTCCATCATATTCTTACTATTGCCAAAGAATTGTGTGGTCCTATTTATATAAATGACAAAGGTAAAATATCAAGTAATACTCACATTACAAAAAAGATTAATGTGGATTTTACAATTACGATATGTTTATTATCTCATAGTAGGGGGCTTTCCTCTATAATATAAACACTTTGAAAGTTATGTACAACATGTTATTAAAATCATCCGATGTTTTTATACTAAATTGAACCAAATTATATGTACAATGATATTTTTCGTGAATGATTATTTACTATTAATTTTGTTTTATAAACGTATATTAAAATGATAATTGTAGATGATGTACGTGAATACAATATATGTGTGCTTCCACCAAATATCCCAGAAATTGATTTGTCATGTCTTTCAATGATATTTGTGTCATCAACTTTACTTAACGAAGATTCCTTTTTGATATGCAGTACGATTGCTCAAAAAGTTGCTCAGAATTGGGCAGGAGGTTTAGTTACGTGTACAAATTTTCAACATTTGTGGTTAAATAAAAGTTTTAGTACCTTCATATCTAGAAGAATTGTGTATTTTATGTATCAGCAAAATATAATTCCTGATAAAATGTCATTTCTGGAAAGAAAAACCGTTAACGATCTTATAATTAAGGTAAATCATTAATATTTCATTCAGACGGAAAGTGTCGAAATATATACATTGAAACTGTTGATTGTTAATAATAACAATTTACACTTTTACAACTTTACGAAATTACTTACTTTGCAAATATACACATTTATAATACATTTCGCACATTCGCATACGCATTCGTATTTCTACATACATATACTTATCTGAATTCTTACATTATTTTCTTTGAATTTTGTTAATATTACAGATAAATTTACTTGATGTTGACTCTGAACAGAAACTAATACCTAATTTGTGGGGTGTCTTAACCAAAAATATCACAAAATGTGTAATGGATGAATTGGGATATATTCTTTTGAGTTACTTAAATTCTTTTTTTGGATCAAAACATTTCAAAATATATCTTAAATCTTATTTTTGGGATTTTCGTTTTAAAAGTATAAACACTCATGATTGGCTGATCCATTTGCTTAAATGTTTTGTTAACTTACAAGTGGTAACATCTTTCTGTGTAAACATATTAGAATTTTAACAACATTTATTCATTGATTAACAAATAATAACTCTTGTGTATCTGCTTATAGAAACTATCAATATTCTATAAGTGGATTTATGGACCGAATTTAAGACATATGTCTATTGAAGATCTATGTACTTTGTATCCCGAGCTGCATTGTCTAATGACAAAAAGTCAAGGATACCTGTTAGCGACACAGTGGATCACGACAGAAACATTTAATAATTTTGCTTTTTTGTTGACTGAAATAAAATTATATAATAATAATCTTGAGAGAAGAGAATTCTTATCCCACTTATATGCATCGAATATGGTTTTACCAGTTGCAAAGTTATGGTGGCTACGTCGTATGTTTCCACTTGACGAGCAAACTTGTGAAAATCGGTAAATATTGCCGGTATATCTATATTTAAAAATTGATTTGAAATTATACAGCATAACGCATACGTATCTTCTAGGCTTCTTTTGCTACTTTTGTACATAAAAAATAAATGGTTGGAAATGATTCAACCTGCTTTGGAATTTGTCCGCGAATATTGTTCACCAATGTTTGCGTGTCCAATATTTCGTGAATTGTACAAATTGGAAGAGACGCGTCACCTGGCGATCTCAGGATTTACAGCCATTGTGGAGAAGAAATGCAAAATGCTTCCTCAAACCATCCAAGAAGTAGCATATATTCTTAAAATTAATTTAAAGGATATATATATATTAACAAGTGAAGAAAGTACTCTGCATGTAAAAACAAGACAATGACGCTTGAAATCAAGAAGAAATCGAAATAAGTTAGTTTAAATGAATACGAAATAATTATAAACTAAATATTACAATAACTACACTGTTAGAAATGTAATCACGTACTTCCTTTATATATAGATGAAGCTCGTGATTATGAACGAAATTAAAAGTAATGAATAATTTCCCTGAAAATTAAGTTATAGTAATTATTTAAATGTAACAAACGTGTACATTAAATTATGAAATTTCATGTACTTTTAATTAAATTTTATGAAAAGTATATAAATTTTCATGAAAAATGCATTAAATTTTTTTATTTTATGTATATGCACACAAATGCTTTTTAATTATAAATACATTAAATTTAATGTAATGTCATGAAATTATGTAACTTAAAATGTAATGAAATTTAAGAACATTTCTAACAGTGTACGTTTTAATTATAAATACATTAAATTTAATGTAATGACATGAAATTAAATTTAATTTGTCTAACTTAAAAGTTAATAAAATTTAAGAACATTTCTAACATTGTAATGTTAATGTTATTTTTATATTAATTAAATATTTATCCTTCTTATCATGATCTTAAGAGTAAAATTTCATTTTTTATTGAATATAAAGTACTCTCCATAGAAATTTTACACCAAACAATGAATAGGTAAAACAAATGTTTTATTAAAATCATTACTTTCGTCCTCATTTTTATCTTGATTTTTATCAAAATTACCAATCAAATCATCTAAAAGATTAACATTATAGATCTGTCGCATTCTGCAACATAGCGAATTCCTATCATAGCTCCTACTCACTCCAATGCGTTTGTTGAAGTAAAACACGGAATGAATTTATATTTCCATCCACGAAGATATCGCAATAGAGAAATATGCAACAAAATGAACAAAAAGGTACAAAGACCCAGAATTTTCTCTGCTGCTGATCTTATAGATTTTCTTTTTTGTAAGATGTAACCTCTTCTTATTAGCTTTACCTTGAGCAAAAATTTTTCATTGCAGTTATCGTCTCAATCGCTACCTAATTAATTGATATAGAAATAATATTAAACAATAGTATCTTATTTAATTAATATATACTGTAATGTGAATACATAATAAATAAGAAATAAAAGCCCTAAACGGTATATCAAGTTGGAGTTTTAGTATTTAAATTTAGTGTTTAAATAATTCGATGTGAATTTATACTATACATATTTATACTATACATATCCAATCCTACAAACTGCCCCTCGAATTTAATTTGCAGTCTTTGAATACAATCTTAACAGAACTTGAGTAATATCATAAAGCAATTTAATAAGATTATAATATTTATAAGCATGTTAGAAAGACCTTAATAATCTGATGCTGATAAGCATTTTAAAGCCTGCAAATAATTTTGTAGCAAAAAAATATTACCTAACGCGGTCCGAATAATTCAGATACATAGCGATTGAATTTATATTAAAGCCTTGTAATACTTTTATTTAATTACTGCAAAAAATATTAGCTTAGCCGGGATAATTAAAATGTTTCGTGATGTGAGAGAATTTGAGGATGAATGATGATATGAATAGACTGCGGAATATTCTTTAATTGGATAATTGAATAATCAGAATTCAAGTAAGGTAAATTTAAATTGAGAGACAAATGGAAGGATAATTGATAAGTGGATAATTGAGATTTGAATGGGAAAAAGCACTTGTGCGAAGTTTGGCGGAAGGGAAGCTTGTTCGCACACATTCTTGAATATATTCTACATGTAGCGATAATCGGGTCTACATACACCAGTAAGTCAATATAAAAAGTATATTGTATCGAACAGTCATAGAATGTGAAGGAACCGAAGAATCGGCATTCGGTGACCTGTTCAAAAGACGCTTCGGTATATATAATGCAGTAGATTTTATATATATACTATATATATGCATATTAAAAGTTTACATCTTACAATTTGGATTAATAAAGAGAATAATAATCGATAAATCAATTGCTGATCATGAATAATAGAAAAGACACTTTCATTAGGTACGTAATTATTTTATTTAAAATTGTCGATATGAATAGATAAATTATTAAATTATAAAATTCTTGCTTCCATTGCGTCTTATTCTTTTTGCAGCTTTAAAATTTTTATTTCCACTGAGAAGCCGATCGAAAAAATAAAGAAATGAAGAACATATTCGGAATACATTGTGTGTCGTAAGGCAACTCTACAGCGATCAAATCTCTCGCCCTAGATACGATGTATCCTCTGCAGATCCCACCAGTTTATTTCGGAGATCCCTCTGATGGAGCAAGGGGATGGATTGCCGATACTAACAAACCGAAAAGATTTATACGCGCGTATGTGTCGACGAGAAAAAGAATAAGTATAAGGTTTAGAATAAGTAGGTAAAAAAAAAAAAAAATTTCATTTTAGGAAAAGGGATGCACGATTAATGTACATATTTCTTTTTTAGATGTTGCTCTCCACCCTATTTGGCGGGCGTCCGCCTGCACTCTTCTGCACCAATACCCGAGTTTCCGTCGTAGTATACATGTGGAGTGTGTATATACATGTAAAATACATACGGGTGGTGCTGGCCGCGGAATGGGATGAGAGCGAGAGGGTGAGGACGAGTGTGAGCCGGGTCGACCGCGCAAATCTCTGCACGTACACGCACACGTGTCTGTGTGTGGGATGTGTACATATACACGCGCCATTTTCATGCATCATTGTATGCGTGCGTGCACAAGGGTAGGCGAGGGTGAGATCGCGGGGGATGGTAGGCGCCTTGGTGACGTCATTGCTCTAATCGTCAGTTGCGCAGAGACGGGGTTGGTCACCGCGCTACGTCAGAATGAGGAGTCGAGCACTTTGTGCGGGCGGGCCGACGATCTAGGGGTAAAAAAAATATCATTCTAAATATCGCGATTATATTCCACTGAACACCGTTGTTCATGTCATCCCGTGATAAGGTTACGCGCGCGCAGCATCCCCATAAATCGTTTACGTTCTCTTTTGCAGAGAGGTACACGAGCATGGGACAGGGAGCGGTGTCGTGAAGTGAGGCGGAAGGCGCGTGTCGTTGGCGCGCGCGTGGTCAACAGTGCGACTGTCAGGGTGGCCGAGTGCCGGCGACGATGGCGAGCTCGGGCTCGGCGGTCGACGGGGTTGGCGACGATGGTACGACGGGCGTGCCGGGCGGCGGACCCAGGAATCCCCTCACCTGCGGTGTCTGCCACGATTATTACAACGAGCCTTGTCTGCTCTCCTGCTTCCATACCTTCTGCGCCCGTTGCATACACGGCCCGCACATCGACGGGACGATCAAGTGTCCCATCTGCGGGTAGATAACAACATGTGACGATTTATCCAACAGTTGACATTTGCATATGCATGCGCAATATTAATATTTCTAACTGCAAAGTCAGATTTTCATTTCCGTGTGTTTCATCTTTTGTGTAACATTAAAGAATTATCTGCAATTTCAAGTATTCTTTAGACTCAGTGGTTCCAAGAAAACGTTCTGGAACGTTTCTTTTATTACTTTCTTATTACTTTATATTAGTTGTAATGTTATTAAATTATAATTTTCTCTACGATATTACAAGTGTGTTATGTAATAATGCTGCACTGTGTTATTATTTATAATTATACAGGCAACAAACACAGTTGAAAGATGGAGCACAATTACCACCCCCCGATCAGCTGATACGCCAATTAGTGGAACTGGCAAACTCCGAAAATCCACCATGTGCCAATTGCGATAAACGCGATAAATCCACTATGTTTTTCTGTACAACATGCGGTATGTTTATTAAAGAAATGTCTTTCAATGTCATCAGTATCAAGTTATCCAGAACATAAAAAGAAATGTTGTACATATTTACAGGACAAGCGCTTTGCACTCACTGCAGAGAACATACCCATCGTGCAAAGATGTTCTCCACTCACGAGGTGGTGCATATGAGCAAATGCGCCAAGGACACTCAACGTCGGTGTCCGAGCCATGGCGAGCAGTACATAATGTATAGCCAGAGCGCCAAGTGCATGCTGTGCGCTACGTGCTTTCGCGATACACCTCCGGATGCGCGGGTGCACTGCGTGGACATTGAAAGCGCCTGGCAGCAGGTCTCGAAGAAGATGGAGCGCGCTGTAAACTCCATCTGCGAGCTCCAGGCTGGCATTAAGGACGGCGTATTGGCCCTCAAGTCGCAGCTGGACGAGTTGCGGCACAGTCTCGAGTCCGAGAAGCGCGCGTTGACCGCCTTCTGTCAAGGTATGCAGGAGGCGATCAACAAGACGCACGCGTACGTCCTCGCAGAGTTGCAGCGTCAATTCGACACTAAGGAGCGCATGGTGCGTACGCAATTGCTTGCGCTAGGTAGCGCGTTACCCGTGCTGCAGATGCATTTAATGCTGTGCACCGCGTTCACCACTGGCGCGACCAAATATCAGTTCCTCGAGCTGGCGCATCCGATGCTGGAACGGCTGAGTCGCGTCGCTCAACTGGGCCATCCGTCGCGGCCACCTCTGCTCGCTGCCCACATCAAGACGAATTATCGGGTCGATTTTGCGCGTGCCCTACATCCCTACATAGGTCAAGTGCAGACACCGAAGATTACCGCAGAATCCCTGTATGATCAGATGGCCGGTGGTCATACGCTAGGTCAGCCGGAACCGCAAGTGCTTCAGGTACAGGTGCGAGCGAAACGAGGAATTTCACGATTGGTCACATTGGATGATCCTCCATCGTGACTATCCATCATTTTCGCATCAGAAATTTTTTTCTTTCTGATACCTAAATTATTATTTGTATTATATGTTTAAATTCTTCAGTTTTATTTATGGATCGTTATAGAAATTATAGATCGTAAATGATAATCAAAAGTTGATGCAAAATATAATTAGAAGATCGCTAATAAACCATTCGCGTTTTACGCCAGGAATACGTTTTCCCAACAGAGCAGCAAGGTCACTCAGAGGCTGCCGACAAAAAGCGGACCTGATAGCGGCCCGTTCTCCAATCACTGTCG